TCTGGCGCCGCACAACATCTCGAAAAGGTCGAGGATCCGCTCACGACTGCGGAAGGTGTACATCAGCGGGGTGCCGAACGCGCCCAACTCCTGGACGAAGAAACCCACGGCGATAAGATGGCTGGCGATGCGTTGGAGCTCGGCAGTAAGCGTGCGCAGGTATTTGGCACGGGGTGGGGGTTCGATACCGAGCAACTGCTCCACGGCTAGGCAGTAGGCCTGGTTGTTGATCATCGAGGATGTGTAGTCGAGGCGGTCGGTCAGCGTGACGACCTGAACGTAATTGCGTTCCTCGGCCAGTTTTTCGCTACCGCGGTGCAGATAGCCCAGAACGGGTTCGACCTCAACGATATTTTCGCCGTCGAAGGTAATGCGCACGCGAAACACCCCATGCGTGCTGGGGTGCTGCGGACCCACGTTGACTGTCATGGGTTCGGTTGGGAGGGTCATAAGGCAAATGCAGGAATCGGGATTTCCCGGACCCGCCTACAGAAAGTCCTTGCGCAGGGGGTGGCCGTCGAAACCTTCCCAAAGCATGATGCGTTTCAGATTCGGATGGCCGGAAAACCGGACGCCCATCAGATCCCAGATTTCCCGTTCCTGAAAATCGGCGCCTTTCCAGATGCTGGTTACCGATGCGGCCGACGGTTCTTCACGCCCGTAAACGCGGCTGCGAACGATGGCGGTGTGCTGATGGTTGATGGACATCAGGTGATAGACCAATTCAAAATATTCGATGTAATCGACAGCGCTGATGGAGTTCAGGAATTTGAAGTCCAACTCGGCGTCGTCCTTCAAAAATGCGGCCGCTTCGTTTAACGACTCGGGTTCCAGCCAAACCGAAGCATCATCCCACGTTACTACCGCGTCGGGAAGTTGCTGGCGCAGTCGCTGGGCGAGGGTTTCGCCGGAAAGGGGCACAACCGTCACGGTTTGAAACTCCCGCTACCCAGATTACGGTATTTTTTGATTTTCTCGTGCAGTTCCATTATGCCGTACAGCAAAGCGTCGGGACGAGGCGGACAGCCAGGAACGTAGACATCAACTGGAATGATGTGGTCGACGCCCGGCACCACGCTGTAGGACCCGAAATAAGGCCCACCACTGGTTGCGCACACACCCATCGATATTACCCAGCGCGGCTCGGCCATTTGCTCGTAGATGCGTTTGATTGGCGGGGCCATTTTCCAGGTCACCGTGCCGGCGACTATCATAAGGTCTGCCTGACGGGGTGAGGCCCGGAACACCTCCATGCCGAAACGGGAGATATCGAAACGGCCCATTGCGGTTGCAATCATCTCGAAGGCGCAGCACGCCAGGCCAAATGACACCGGCCACAGGGCGGATTTTCGGCTCCAGTTAACCAGGGCGTCAACGGACGTAACCATCAAATTGCGTTTTAGGTCATCGGGAACGTCGAAGGCTGGAACCTCAATGGGGAACTGGGAGGCCGTGATCAGGTTGTTGACCACCTGTCCTTCTGACCGGTCAATGTCCCAGGTGCGGTCGTGGAGCGGGCCACCGCCAGGCATAAGTTCGACCATTGCTGTTTACCCCTGCCATTCCAGATCGCGCTTGCGCCAGGCGTACGCCCATGCCAGGAGCAGGATACCCACGAATACCGCCATCTCGATGAGGGCGAACAATTCCAGCGTGAGGAATTTGGTAGCCCAGGGATAGAGGAACACCACTTCAACGTCGAATACGATGAACAGGATGGCAAACATGTAGTAACGGAACTGGAAACGGTTCCAGGTCCCGCCGATGGTTTCGACGCCGCACTCGTAGGTATCGTGCTTGACGTCATCGGGCCGCGCGGGGCGAAGGCCAATCTTGCTCAGGCTATATGACGCAAATAAGATGCTGGAGGGAACCACCACGGCAATAACCAGGAAAATCGCGATCAGTCCGTATTGGCCGAAGTAATCTTCTAGCATTGCTGAAATTCGCCCGCCGACAGCAGATTCGTTACGAAATCGCCTAGCCTGACGGAGGCGCGAACCACCTCGCTGTCTGGCTAATTGAGCGGCGGCATTATAACATATCGCCCGTGGGGCAAATATATTACACACACAATCTGAAGGCTATCGAATGACATGCAACCCACCCGCCGCTGACTGGGCCAGCAAATTCGTTGAGGCGAACGGGATCAGGCACCACTACCTGGAGTGGGGCGAAGCATCCAAGCCGGCATTAGTGATGCTGCACGCCACCGGTTTGTGCGCCTGGCCCTGGAAGCCAGTGGCTCGCGAGCTGGCTCAGGATTACCGTGTGCTGGCGTTCGACCAGCGCGGTCACGGAGATACCGATAGATCGGACCGGGGATACCATTTCGAGCTCGTGGGCGACGACCTGGCGGCCATCGTGGAGAAGCTGAATTTGGAAAGACCGGGCGTAATTGGGCATTCGTCGGGCGGGCTGTCGGCGATCCTGGCGGCAAATCTGCTTCCCGACCGATTGGGTCCGGTGGTACTCGTGGAAACACGTGTCAGCAACGATGTGGCCGCCGTCCCCACTCAGGACCGGAACCTCCGCGCCGAGAGAACCCGGATGAAACGCGCTGTTTGGGAAAGTCGGGAAGCTATGTTTGCGGCGTATCGAACCCGCGCCGCGTTCAAGGATTGGGAAACTGAGGCTTTCGAACAGTTCATCAACTGCGGCACAACGCTGCTTGCTGACGGTCGGGCGGAGTTGAAATGCCACCCGGAGACCGAGGCGACTTTCTACAGCATCAGGGACAGTTTGTCGGTGCAGGACTACCTCGAGGGATTGAATGGTGACTGGCTATTGCTCCTGGCAGATTATCCCGGTTGCCAACGCCTGGAAGACGCCGGAGTGCAGCAATTCCGACGATTGGTTGCCGGCTCCACGGTGGCGCCGATGGGCAAGGGCAGCCACTTCCTGCCGATGGAATTTCCAGGCGACACATTGGCCGCAATCAGAGCCTGGTTTGACGAGATTTCACAACGTGCCTAATATTGACGTCGATAAGGTTCACCAGAAGTTGGGAGCGACCGAACCGGCTCCGGGGCACTGCCTTAACGAATTTGGTTTGATCTATTGAACACTCTCACCACAAAATCCGGCCCCCTCGCTGGCCTCAAGGTGCTGGATTTGTCCATAATAGTCGCTGGCGGTACGGCATCGTCACTCATGGCCGATTTCGGGGCGGAAGTGGTCAAAGTTGAAAGACCGGGGACGGGTGATCCGTTACGCAACTGGGGGCCGTTCTATAATGGGGTGTCGCTGTGGTGGAAAGTGCATTCCCGCAACAAGGAATCAATCACCCTCAATATGGGGGACCCCAAAGGGCAGGAACTGCTGAAACAGTTGGCGGCTCAGGCGGACGTGCTGATCGAAGGATTCCGACCCGGAACCCTGGAGCGATGGGGTTTGGGACCTTCGGATCTGCACAGCGTGGACGTGAACCCTGGACTGATCATATTGCGATTCTCGGGGTTTGGGCAGACCGGTCCCTACAAGGATCGACCCGGATTTGGCACGATTGCCGAATGCATGAGCGGTTACATTGGGATGACGGGCTTCCCCGATACACCGCCCAACCTGCCTCCGGTTCCGTTGGCCGACGAAATCGCCGGCGTTTTCGGCGCGATGGCGGGCATGATGGCCATCTACCGGAGAGATGCGGATCGGCGCGACGGGGAACCGGGCGCCGGCCAGGTGGTTGACCTCAGTCTATTTGAGCCGTTGTTTCGGTTATGTATACCGCACCTTACGATCTATGACCGGTCGGGTGAAATCAGGGAGCGTATCGGCAACGACTTCCCCGACGCGGCGCCGCGCAGTCTGTATCGAACCGCCGATGACCGATGGCTGGGGCTTTCTGCCACATCGCAAAACACCTGGGAGGGCCTGGCTCGGGCGATGGGTCTGGATGCGCTGCTGCAGGACCCGAGGTTCGCCAACAACGCCGCCAGACTGGAAAATAAGGACTCGCTGAACGAAATACTGCAGCGATGGCTGGGAAGCCGGTCGATCGACGACATCATGGACGAACTGATACCGGCAGGCGGGGTGGTTGGCCCGGTGTACAACAGCGCCGATATTGTCAACGACCCTCACTATCAGGACCGCGATGACATCGTCGAGGTCGATGATCCTCAACTGGGATCAACAATTATGCTGGGGGTAGTGCCAAAGTTCAGCGAGACACCCGGCGAACTGCGCCACATGGGTCCCACCGTGGGCGAACACAACCGGGACGTTTACGGTCGCTGGCTGGGGCTTGACGACCAAGAGATCGAAACGCTGACCGAGGAAGGGATAGTTTGATTCTCACCGCGAGGAGGATGCCCTCTTGCAACCTGCGCAATTACTAGTTGCGACGCGCAACGCCGGCAAGATGCGGGAATATCGGGAGCTGCTGGCGAACCACGCGAACCGTCTGATTTCTTTGGACGACCTGGGTATACCGGATGAGGTGGAAGAGACCGGGGACAGTTTCAGGTCAAATGCCATCCTCAAAGCGAGTTCATACGCCAGGTTATCCGGGTGCCTGACGTTGTCGGATGATTCGGGTTTGGAAGTAGATGCCCTGCAGAGAGCGCCCGGCATATACTCGGCGCGGTACGGCGGTGAGGCCTGCGATTCGGACGAGGACCGGGTTCAACTATTATTGGAAAACCTGCATGGAGTACCGTGGGAGTTGCGGACGGCCCGATTTTGTTGTGTTACGGCGATCGCAGCGCCGGCGGGCTTAAGCCTCCCTGGCGACGCCGAAACGGGCCGATTCGCAGTGTCCGGGGATACTCGTGCGGCAACAGTCGTCGGTTCGGTGGCTGGAGTGATACAATACGAACCTAAGGGCGATCATGGCTTTGGCTATGATCCGGTGTTCTATTTGCCGTCGTACGCGCAAACCATCGCTCAACTGCCCCTGAGCGAAAAGAATCGGATCAGCCATCGCGCTGACGCTGCCCGAAAGGCCCGCCGAATACTGGATCTCATCCTGGGCCCACGGGAAGTCGCTGCGAGTTAGTATGATTTCAGACCTTTTTGGCAGGCCACTTAGGGATTTGCGGATTTCGGTTACGGATCGGTGCAATTTCCGGTGTCCATATTGTATGCCCGCGGAGATATTTGGAGAGGCTTACCAGTTTTTACCGAAAGCCGAAATCCTGACCTTTGAGGAAATTGCGCGGTTGTCGCGTCTTTTCGTCGAACTGGGAGTGAACAAGCTGCGCATAACCGGGGGCGAGCCACTGTTGCGAGTGGACTTGCCAGATCTGGTCCAGCAACTAGCTGAAATACCCGGCGCCGATGACATCACTTTGACCACCAACGCCTATCTGCTTGCGCAACAGGCCCAGCCGTTGAAAGACGCCGGATTGCATCGCATTACGGTGAGCCTGGATTCGCTGGACGATGAGGTATTCAAGCAGATGAACGGGCGCGGATTCGGTACTCGCCGGGTCTTGGACGGGATTCGCCGGGCCGCCGATTGCGGATTGGCTCCCATCAAGATAAATGCGGTGGTACAGAAAGGCGTTAACGACCACACCATTGTGGAGCTTGCCCGGCATTTCAAGGGCACCGAACACATCGTGCGGTTTATCGAATATATGGACGTGGGTAATCGCAACGGATGGAAACTGGATGAGGTAGTGTCTGCGGCCGAGATCGTGGCCATGATCGACGCTGAACTACCGATTGAACCGGCGGAGGCCAACTACGTTGGCGAAGTGGCCCGACGCTGGCGGTACCGGGACGGCGAAGGCGAGATTGGCGTTATTGCATCGGTGACCCAACCCTTCTGTGTGGACTGCACGCGCGCCCGCCTGTCCACCGATGGCCGCCTATACACCTGCCTGTTCGCATCCGACGGCGTGGACCTGCGAGGGCCGATGCGGATGGCGCCGATGACGACGAATTGCGTGGGATAATCACGAAGGTCTGGTCGATTCGGAGGGACCGTTACTCTGAAGAACGGGCCGAAATCACCGAGACCGGCGGAGCCAGCCCCAGGCCCAAGGTCGAGATGTATCAAATCGGCGGCTGACCGGACAAATTATGCCTGCACAAAGTGAAGACAAGCCCACCAACCGCTTGACGCACCTTGCCGAAGATGGCAGTGCGCGCATGGTGGACGTAGGTTGGAAGCCAGTTACCGACCGGGTAGCGGAAGCGTGCGGTTATGTTGTGATGGAACCGGCCACGTTGGCGCTGATCCGCGACGGCCTGATGAAAAAGGGCGATGTGTTAACCATCGCGCAGTTGGCCGGAATTATGGGGGCCAAACGCACGTCCGAGTTGATACCACTGTGCCACCCGCTGCCGCTCAATAAGGTTGACGTGGAGTTGACGCTGGAAGAACCGGAACACCGGGTCCGTGTTACTGCGACGGCCACCACATCCGGCAAGACCGGAGTGGAGATGGAAGCTCTCACCGCCGTTTCGGTGGCGGCGCTCACCGTTTACGACATGTGCAAGGCGGTTGACCGGGCGGTGCGCATCGACGGGGTTCGTCTATTGCGCAAATCCGGTGGTCAGTCGGGGGACATCGATCTGACCGGACTCTAACCGCCCCGGAGGCGCAATTCGGCGGCCAAGGTTCGGATCGCCGCCACTTGGTAGAGGAAATACTCTTCGGGCGTTGCATCGAGAGGTTTGAATAGCTCTACTTGATCGACCTCCAACACTCCGACGATACCAGGGATAGCGGCGACTTCCAGCTCGTATATGCTGCCGTCGGGCGTGACCACCACGCAACCCCGGTCTTCCGTTTGGACGTGCGGCGATTCCACCTCGACAGCCTGGATAGTGGCCATGCCGAGGAAAGGTGGGAAAGGGTTTAGCCTGCCGCACAAATCGCTCAGTATTGCTTCCAGACCGGTGATGGCCTGAGCCAGCACTGCGTCGGCGGCTTCCAACGGGTTGGCGGAATTGTCGGGTTGGCCGTCCATGATTTTATTGCAGGACGCCCGGGGCGGGGATTATAGCCGGCGCAAGCCGGAACCCAGAAAGCACGATTGAGTCAGATTTCGGACGGTCTCCTATCATTTCGGACACTGGATTCCCGCTTTCGCGGGAAAGACAAGAGCACTGGATTACCGCTTGCGCGGGAAAGGCGAGGGCAATAGAATCAAAATGCGATCGCCCTTGGGTGGTGGTAGCCAGCGCAATTGACAACGCCACGGAGCGGGCCGTAACATTGATGCCGCGTGGCAGCGCTGACGGCTGGTCGGCGACCCGCAGGTTGGCGACGTAGCTCAGAGGCAGAGCGGGCGCTTCATAAGCGCTAGGTCGTTGGTTCGAATCCATCCGTCGCCACCACCAATGGAATATTGGCCAATCACGTTGGGGCCAATGAAGATAAGACAAAGCCGGGTGTCGACACCCGGCTTTGCGCATTGTATTCGGTCAGCGGTTACTCGTCGCGATCGCCTAATTCTCCGCCCAGCTCGCTCAGGAACTGTTCGATTTCGGGAGACAGAGACACCGGGTCAGATTGGGGTTGACTATCGGCTGGCTCAACGGTTTCTGCCTCGTTTGAGTCGTAGTACGCTTCCATTTGCTGGATCAGGCCCTGAAGCTCCGCATTGCGTTCTACGGCTGAACCCAGTTCTCGATACTGGCGTTGACCACGTCGGGTCGGTGCCAAGTCGGCTGGGATGTCAGGGTACACGGATGACAAAGTTTCAAGCATCCTTGCCGTGCCGTTGAAGTCCTCATCGAGTTGGACGTATTGGGGCAGGTGAACCATGAAATTGATTGATTCGACGCCCAGTTTGTCAATGCCGTCCGAAACCAGATTCATGATCGTAGTTGGGCCCTGATACGTGCTGCCCCGCAGCTTGAGATTCGGCACGGGTCGAATCTGGGACACCGCGCCCAGTGATCCGGTGACCAGCAGTGGCCTGGTGTGCGGCACAGCGTCGTACATGGCGCCCAATCGGCAATAGCGTTTAACTTCGAAATTTTTGACGACTTCAAGAATGGAGTCGGTATAAACTTCGCTGTTGGCATGGGGTTCGCGCAGGTGGAAGAAAAGGTAATCGGGACCGTTTTCGGTTACGGCGTATCGGATCACGCTGTTGGGGATACGCACCTGGCGTTTGTCATCCACCAGTCGCATACTGGGACGGTATCTGGTGAAATCAAAGAATTCACCGGGGCGATGAAGGCGTCCCAATTCGCGCGAACCCAGATACCTTTCCAGTCTGGTAAGGGTGAGGGTACCCACGCTACCAACATCCACCCACGGGCGGATCATGGCGAAGACGTGGGGGTCGCGCAGCTCGGGCAGCGGTTCCTGTAGTTCAAAAGCACCAATTCTCATAATGCCAATATCTTGCCAGACGCCACGTTTTAATTCAAGCGAACCCGAAGGTTGAATGCCCGGACGGGTTGGCCTACAATGCCTTGGACGACGTTGTAAACGATTTCGTGAACGATCTCGCCGGAGAAAAGCCATCACTTAGCGCAATCTCGCGCGCCAATTGCCGGAGGCACCAAATGATCACAACCTTTGACAGCCTATACGCTGGTCACGTCGATATGGACAACGTTGGATACGCCGGTACGGCGGTCAACGATCGTTCGTATTCGGATGAGTTCCTCGCTGGCGCGTTCGATAAAGGCGTTGCCATTGCACAAACACTGGATAAGCACGGCTACGATACCTTCTGGATGGCAGAGCACCATTTTCAGCCCGAGGGCTATGAATGCATCCCGAATCTGCTGATGTTTATCGTGCACCTGGCTCACCTGACCGAACGGTTGCGGTTCGGATGCGGGTTCAATATTGCGCCGATGTGGCATCCGTTGCGACTGGCCGAAGACTTCGCTGCCGCAGACTGGATGACGAACGGCCGCGTGACTTTCGGCGTGGGCCGCGGTTACCACACCCGTGAGGTGGAGTCATTCGGATCCCCGTTGATGGACCAGGCCGCCAACCGGGAGCTATTTGAAGAACAGGTGCAGGTGATTTTCAAAGCCTTTAACGAGCGATCATTCTCGCATCACGGCAAGCATTTCGACTTTCCTCCCCAGGTACCGTACCGTGGATACCAACTGGAAGAAATTACATTGGTTCCGCGTCCCAAAACCCTCCCGGTGGAGTGTTGGCAACCGATCCAGGGCGGTACGGGACGAGCGCTGGAATTCATGGCCAGCATGGGAATCAAGGGAGTGATCGGCGGGGGTTCGTCCGAGGGTGGTGCGATGGACGGCATCATGCATGCGTATCGCGACGCGTTGACGCGCCATGGCAAGCCGGAAGCCGAGCTGGGCGAGGATTTGGCCGTTGGGTTCCATTTCCACATCGCGCCGACGGTGGAAGAGGCCGCCCGACAGGCCGGCCGGTATTACGAAGAAAACCTGAAGATGTTCGGGCCGTTGCGGTTGACGCGTGGCTTGACGGAACAGCAGATCCTGGACATTAGCAACCCACAGGTGGCGCCCAACGCGGGATTGCCGCGAATTGAGGATGCCATCGAGAACGGCAGCGTGCTGGCCGGGACTCCGGAATCAATTATTGAGAAACTGAAGGGAGTTGAGGAACGGTACCCTGGTCTGAAGCGAATTCAGGTGGGGCAGCCGGTAGGCACTCCGCAGACCCTCATTCTGGAGCAGCTGCAGTGGTTCGCAGAAGAGGTAATGCCTGCCTTCAAAAACGTGGAAATGGCGGTACCGGCGGATAACTGATCTGACACCGGAACGCGATACACGACGGCATAGCCCCGTGTCGGCGAGCGGCGCGGCAGCCTGAGAATGAATTTGCGGGCGCTTCCACCTGGCATTGCCGGGTGGGGCGCCCGCAAATTTTGGCCGACGTATATTGTGTCCGTACTGACCGTAGCGAGGGTCGTTTTTCGCGATGCCGGCATCCTGATGACAGGTGGGCGGGGACGGTGTTTCGGGTGAGGTGATAACCTAATAACTAGGCCACAAATTTAGGAGATGAACTATGCCTGATATTACCAGTTATTCCAATGGAAGACCGTCCTGGGCCGACTTGATGTGTCACGATGGCGACGCGGCCAAGCACTTTTATTCCAGCCTGTTTGGATGGGAAATCGTGGACAATCCGATCGACGAACACCTGGTCTACTCGATGTACATGCACCGGGGATTTGCCGGTATGCGCTTCAGCAGTGGCCTATCCCGGTTCGGAACAAGAGAATATGCCCTCCCACTGGAGCGTTTACGTTACTGTAAGCGATCTGGAGGCTGCTACGGAACGAGCGCGCGCTGCCGGAGGGACCGTTATTTCCGAACCGTTCCAGGTGATGGACGTGGGCCGGATGTCGATGATCCAGGACCAGCAGGGTGCGATGTTGCGGTTGTGGTACCCAATTCAGCATGTAGGCGCCGGCGTGATAAACGAACCCGGCGCTCTATCCTGGTTTGAACTGGCGACCACCGACACGGATTCCGCCCAGGAATTTTACGCCCAGGTTCTTGAAGTGGAGATCGGGCCTGATCCAGATTCGCCTTTCCCCTACACGCTGGTGAAAGTGGACGGCGAACCGGCGGCCGGGATTATCCAAATTGTCGATGACTGGGGACCGGTGCCGCCAAACTGGGGTGTTTATTTTGGAGTCGATGACGTTGACGGAACGGTTGCGAAGGCGCGGGAACTGGGCGGTAAAGTAATCGTCGAGCCAAACGACATCGGCGATTTTGCGCGTTTCTCGGTTCTTTCCGACCCTGAAGGCGCGGTGTTTTCCGTTATCAATCTGACCCAATGGTAGAAGTTGGCGGGGCAAATATCCCAGACATGAAATAGCTAACCCCGCCGGGTTGCCCTATTGCCCAGTGTTCTGTTGCAGGGTGCCCGGCGGATAATTATCCAGCCACCAGCGGGCGATTTCATCGCGGCGGGCAAACCAGACACCGGGATGGCTTCGTGCATAGCGGAGGAACCGGTCCAGCGCGCGGGAACGAGCGGGCCGGCCGGCGATGCGGCAGTGCAGGCCAACCGACATCATCTTGGGGTGGGTCCGGCCCTCGTCGTATAACACGTCGAAGGTGTCTTTCATGTATTCGTAAAAGTCGCCGACGCTGTTCAGACCGCCGCGCCAAAACCTGGCGTCGTTGGTTTCAAAGCTGTAGGGCAACACCAACCAGGGTTTGCCCTCTACGTCGGTATAGTATGGCAGGTCGTCGTTGAAAACGCCGCTATCGTAGAAGAATCCTCCCTCACTGGCCACGAGGTCGCGCGTTTTACGCTGGAGCCGTAGCGGGTGAACCAACCGACGGGCCGCACGCCAGTGGTGGCGGCCAGAGACTCCACGGTTTTGCGTATTGCTTCGGCTTCCTCGGCTTTGGATTTGTTGTGGTACTCCTCCCAACGGTATCCGTGACCGCAGATTTCATGCCCGCGGTTCACCACCTCGCGCCCGACTTCAAGGTTGCGTTCGATGGCAACGGCGCAACAGAAAAAGGTGCTCTTGACGTCGTAGCGGTCCAGCAAGTTCAGGATTCTCCAGACTCCTACCCGGCTGCCATACTCGAAGAACGATTCGTTGAACAGATCACGTTGACCGGAAGGGATCGGGGACGGCACTTCGTTATTGGACTCGTGGTGGTCGTCGCCGTCCAGCAGCGATGCCTCGCTGCCTTCCTCGTAGTTGACCACAACCGAGATTGCGATACGGGCGTTTCCCGGCCAACGAACTGAAGGCGGATTGGCTCCGTATCCGATAAAATCGCGCTCTTCCATGAATCTGCCTGCCTGATCGAGAAGTTAGCCAGTCACTGGGGCAATTGGATGCGCTTGGTGACGGGCCGATTGTAAGGTCGGGGGGGACAATATGCGGAACGGGACCGAGCTGGGTCGCCGGCCACCACCAACATAATGTTGTCGGGGTCGCGTACGATGGGAAGCATGGGTTCGGGGCCGTCGGTATCCAGCCACTTGGGCCAGAAGTATGGTTCTCCGGCCTCCACGTTGCGGCCGTACCGCAGTTCCTTGTAACGACGCACCTGTTCGATGGGGATGCGAGCCCGCTCGTATAAATACAACTGGACATCCCGTTTCGTCCAACCCTCGTCATGCAACCCGTAGGCGATGAGTGGGCTGACCACCGCAAGCAGGTGTCCGCCGTGGATCATGTTGTGGTTGAGATTACACAGCGAGTCGGCAAGAATCCACAGCGCGAATTCCATGCTGCCGGAACCGGCCGGGTTGTTTCCCCGGGGTGCGTCGGCAGCGAAAAGAGTTACGCAGCTGTCGTCTGCGCCATATCCCATATCGACGTGAATCGGCGACCAGGGTGTATCGACGTCACCGCCCATGCAGTATGAATATTTGGCTGGCGAGCCGAGTGTTGACTTGTCTCCGGTGTCGGGGCGGCCATCGCCCAGGTTGATCATGATCAGGCGAAGCGCTCTGCCGATGGTGGCGTTGGCTCGATTGCCGTGTCCGAATAGCCCGACTCCATGATTGATGCCAATGGCTTCGACGATTGGGCCGGTGATCATGACGAGAGGCGCAGCAGGGTCGCTGGTGGCCTGCAGGCCCCGAACATCAAAGCGTTCGTCCAATGCCGCTTCCACGGCGGCCAGAACGACCGGCATGTACTCTGCTCTGCATCCTGCCATCACTGAGTTGATGGCCACCGACTCGACGGTAACGATCCCCATCCTTGGAGGCATAACTCCGAGGACGTCGTCGCCGTCGCGCCCTGATGCTGCTACGAATTCCTGAACCGCCGACTCGGTTGGCGGCACGATGGGCAGGCCATCGGTCCAACCATTTTCGAAATAGGTTTCGATGGTGTCCAGGGCGCCCTGGACGGTGTCCAACCCAGTGAGGCGCGAATCATGTTGTCGGATAGCCACCGGTGCACAAACCTGTCAGGTTAAGCGCCGTCGTGAGACGTGATGGCTGTTACAACATCGGCGGCCATGATCCGGGCGCGTTCGGCGGCAGCGGAACGGTCTCCGAGCGGGTGAGGGATGATGACCAGCGGCAATTCGGCAAGGTTGTTGGCCCCGGAAATTGCATTGGCCAAACGCACGAAATTGGTGGTGACCACAACCGCGGCGGGCTTACCCATGTCCTCAAAATTCAACGCGTCGAGCACACTGCCCGACGTACAGGACCCTCAAAGCGCTACGCCGGCGATGAGGAAGTCCGACTCCGCTCCCATCTGGCTGATGATGTTCGGTTCGGCCGGCCGAGTCGAAGTAAATTTGGTTTGCAAAACGACTTTGGCCACGCCGTAATCGGTTTCCAGAATTTCGGCGAGGCTCTGAAAAAAGAAACTGGAAGTATCGTTGCCGTTGTCCAGCAGACCTGCAACCTTGCCAGCCACCGAATCCAGCCGCCCGTTCAGGGTGCGGTTGGCCAGATCGACATACCCAGTTGGGTTGAGGTATGAAACCCTGCCGACATCCACGACCGAGGATAACTGTGTTTGCATAGTCTCCACCACCGTCCGGTTTGCGGGTCATAATAGCATAGCCTTTTGCGTTTCGATTGGAATCAGCTGCCGGGATGATGTCAAGGCGTACAGCGGCCAGTCACGGGTTCCGGAAAAAGCATTCCGTTGGTGCGGCAATTATGGACAATTTTGGGATTACGGTTCAGAATGGCACGAAACGCGATACGAACGGGGAGCATATCTGGAGGCCGAACACATGACGATAGCCAGCGCAAATGCGCAGAACCTGTCCCCATTGCAGTTCCTGGAGCGTAGCGCTACGGTTTATCCCAGGCGGGCCGCCTGCGTATACAACGGCGTGATCACAACTTACGGCCAGCTCCACCAGAGGGTGCGGAAACACGCGGCGGCTCTCCGCAGTGTTGGGGTGGAGGCCGGCGATCGGGTCGCTTATCTGGTTCCAAACCTGCCAGTGATGCTGGAAGCGAACTTTGCGCCCATGGGAATCGGTGCGGTTCTGGTGGCGCTCAACATCAGGTTGTCCTCTCGAGAAATTGCCTACATATTGAACCACTCGGGCAGCAAGGTATTGGTATTCGATTCGGAGTTGGCCGACACCGTTCGACAGCTGAGAGACGATTGTCCCGGAGTGGAAACCTACGTACAGGTACGCGATACGGCGCCGCTGGCCACCGATATATCAGGACCGGAATTTGAGGAATGGTTGGCCAACGTGGAACCTCTGTCGGAACTGCCGGGGCCGGCGTCGGAAACGGATACCACCACGATTAACTACACATCCGGCACTACCGGTATGCCCAAGGGCGTTGAATATACTCCCCGGGGCGCCTATCTCAACGCCATTCTCGGCGAGGCCATGGAGATGGGCATGAACTGGAGGAGTGTTTATCTTTGGACGCTGCCCATGTTCCATGCCAACGGATGGTGTTTCCCGTGGGCGGTTACCGCAGTGGGAGGAACCCATATTTGTTTACGGAGGGTCGACCCGGCGGAGGTGTATCGGCTGATACGTGAGGAGTCGGTAACGCATCTGTGTGCGGCGCCCACTGTATTGACCGGACTGTACGCTGCGCCGGAAGCCGCCTCAGCCGACCTTACGGGGCTGACGATAATGACGGCGGGCGCGCCGCCGGCTCCCCAGGTGATTCGCACGATAGAGGGTATGGGCGCCAACATCATCCATGTGTATGGACTTACCGAGACCTATGGACCCTGCACGGTTGCGGCCTCGCAACCGGAATGGGACGAAATGGGTGCGGAAGACCTGCATGTGCGAAAGACGGCAGTGGCAGGCATGGGGCGTTCCCTATTCATGTGTACGGCGTGGTTGCGTTGCGCGTGGTGTGACGAGGAAGACATGCGGGACGTTCCCCAGGACGGTGAGTCCATGGGTGAAGTGGTGATGCAGGGGGACGCCGTCATGAAGGGTTACTACAAAGACGTGGAGGCCACCGCCGAGTTGGCGTCGTATGCGCGGCAGGTGGTTCCACTCTGGAGGTACCTGGCGCGGTTGGCACTCTGCGGCATGTGCGGGTATATGACGATCAGCTACAGATCGCTCCAAGGAACAGATCATCCACGGGCGGTGATGCGAACAGCTCCAGCCAAGAGGGGAGATAAGTGAAAGTGATAGGAGTCACTCTGGCGTGCTCGAAGGTACGCGTGGTGGGAGTGACCGCTTTCAACGATCAGCATTGGGGAGAGGTTCCCAAGGCTTTCGTGGTGCCATCGCGGCTTGCAGCAGGGTCTGTGAGCGCTGGTAAGAAAGAATAGAAAGAACATAAGCGAATTCACTCGAGTATTCCCTTTTGGTCGTTCCCCATCCGGATCGCCATTTCACAGGATCCCAGAGCCAGCTAGAGTCGGGGAATTGCTCGATCAAGACGGCTCGACCACCTGGGAACGATTCTTCAGAATGTTTTATTCTGCGCGAAAAAGAGTGGCAGGGCCAGGAGCGCAGAATCCAGGGATCACAGGTATAGCCAGAACGACTGTCACCCGCTCGAACGATTGTCAGGAGGACCATGATGGAATTCGGCCTCTTCTCGAATGTTTCCCCGCGTCCCGTGACTGGGAAATCACACCACGATGACTTTGCCAATCTTTTATATGGTGCAGGAAGTGAGATCGGTGTATCGTCGGTTTGGCTGGCTGTGAGTAGTTACACTTGTCCAACATGGAAACAGGGTGTCTGGTCGTTACTGGTCGGAACGAGAGTTATGGTTGGCGTAGTAAAAGATCGCAGTGTCAGCCACGCAGCCCAAAACCCTCTTAAAGTACCATGCGCATCGGGACCGCCGTGTACTTGCCTCCTCGCTTGGGTCATCCGTAGTCCGGGTTCGCGAAGAATGAGTGGCGACGCTGGATCTTCACAATCACAGAGACGGGCGCGCCGGGTGGAGTGGGTTTTCTCCGAGGGACTGTTCCCCACTGTTCATTGAGGGATTTTTTTTTAAATCGTGTCCTTTCGACGATGCGTCGAGCCGCTTGGCGAAGCGGAATTTCTGGAGGTTGCTGGTGACGACTCCCTTCCGCCTGAGACAGAAGGAAACAAATTGTTTCTTCCATCGGCGAGCATTTTTCGTGTGACGAACTGACGGTCACGCCCCGGCCGTTCCAGCAACCCCATCCGCCGTATAACAACGGGTGTACAGTCTGGGTATTGATCTTTCCCCAATAGGCTCGGTGTAGATGGGCCACCCGATGATTGTGAATTCCCGTTCGCGGGGTCTTTCGCTGGGTGATTGCTGGTTCTGTGCGGCCAGATTGAGCCGTACTCCCAGGCTTGCTTGAAGCCGGGCATCCGGGTTACCGGCACGGGGCGGGATTGCGGGTCCGCGTTTATGTCAATTCCGAAGACCGTTACGAACGCGCTATACTCGGGAAACCGATGTTCAATACTGTCGGCCCATAATTCAATAGGACGTCCTGGTGGGCCAAAGGGTGGTTGCATCTTTCTTGTACGGCGGGCCCGGTTGCCGGGCACCATCCGTTGCGGAGCTGGGCGCGAGCAGAGCCGGCGCATCTGGGCATGGAATACGCGATTGGCCTGAGGAGAAAGTAGGTAGGTGTGTGTGACGGCTCACACCCAGATACCAGGTCAGCTACGTGCTTGTCAGAACTGGAGAAATCCTGGGGCCTGGACCGTGCATCTACGGTCTCAACTATTGGCTACCTGTGTATGTATTGTAGTATCGAGCTTTGGCCTTAAACGGCATGCTTCGGCTTGTTCAACAAGAATGGTGTGGCTACGGCTTGCTGAGTTAGTGAGCCTGAATGCTGGGGGCCGGCACTAAAGCGCAGATGTAATCCCAGGTGAATCCCCCAGACTTTACAAGTTACACTGAGTCAAAGAGTTTGTAGGCGGCGTCGACTTTTTATCTGAGCGTTGTAGAGGTGACGCTAAAAAGGTGCTTGCAGGATTCTCCTGGACACCTTACGGTCTTCGACCACGAACGACCGGCGCACGTCCTACGGAGTCCGTTTCAGGACTGAAGTTCATGAAACGAGTATAGTAACTGCTTGGGATAATTGCGGGCTGACGCGAAGGTGGTGGTGTTGCCTTACCAACGGAAACACACCGTCCCAAACATGAGAATATACGAGCGTTGACCCTTGCCTCGGGTCGCCCGGTGCAATCCAGCGCGGCGGGGGCTCCTTCTCCGTGGGTTAGCTCACGGATAGCTTCAACCGGATTTTGACTGCTGGCGTGATGAAAACATCGGCAGCCGAAGCCGCTGCGCCACTTATGCAATTCGGTACCATCAATATGACTGCGATAACCGGGCCCCATGGACTATTGTGTTCGAACATGGTTCCGCTGGTCTTTGGACTCTCCAACCTTGAGACCATGGTCAGAAGACTGGCG